GGTGGTGGTGGTGGTGGTGGTGGTGGTGCATTTCCTGCAGCCCGGGCCCAGGAGAGCCTGGGCGCGGCTTTCAGGCACACAGAGATGGCCGGCTCCCCGCGACGCAGCCTCTGAGTTGAAACCCCAAGACCGGGGGTGTGCTGCTGTCCTGTCACTGACCATCTGGGCCCTGGGACAGTTGACTTACCTTCTCCGAGCCTCAGTTTCTTCATTTTAAGGAGAAGATGGCAATCTTCATTGCCTCACCTTGTAGGGTAGATGTAGGGGCAAGCGAGGTGTCCCTGCAAGGTACAGCCGGCTGCATAATTTGCGGGGCCCGGTGCAAAATGAAAACGCAGAACCCCTTGTTGGAAAAGTATTACGAATGCCAGGACGGTGACAGCAGAGCATTAGACTAAGCCAGACACAGCGCTCTGAGCACAGGACCCTGTGCGACTGCACAGTTCACACGCCTGTGATGCTGGCCCTGCTGCAGCGCCTTGGTTCAGCCTCCATCGCCTCTCAGTCTGGCCTTCCAAGTGGTCTCTCATCTCCAAGGGACCCCAGATCTTAGAACCCCAGGGGAGCTTTCCAAAGTTGACCTGATTTTTTTCACATTCTGGTTTCAACCGTCAAGTGGGGCCCATTGCTCTAATCAAGTACGATTTCCTTAGCTCCCTATGCGGCCTTGCCCGGGGGTGGGGGGCCCTGCAGCCCCCCTCACTCCCTGTGCCGGGGTCATCCCCGACCACCACTGCGGGCTCTGAGCACATAATCAGAACTCAGCAGATAGTACAATGGCTTATGTGAGTGCCTGTATTTCTACCTTACCTCATTCCAGAAAGATCTTGGGGAAGTTGACGGAAACACGTACCTCACGACAAGTTTTTAAAATATACAAATAGACTTAAAAATCAGGGCCAAAGGGAAATAAAGACCAGACTGGAGGAAAGATTATTTGAAAATCAAGCCAGCATTTCACATTTATTGAGCACTTACTAGTGCCTGACACTGTGGTAAGGATCTTATCTGTGCTCATTTAATCCCGCACCAACCCTGCAAGGCAGACACTGTTGTTATCCCACTCTACAGATGAGCCAGTGGAAGTGCAGCAGAGTTAAGGGACGTGATGGGTCAGCAGAAGGCACTGGGCTTGGAACGCTGTTCTCGCGCTCCAGAGCCCCACTTGTATCCTATAGGCTCATCTCTAAAGCTTTGCCCTTCCATTCACCGAGTTCAGAGAGAACTGAAACCCCCTCTAATTGGATTCCTTGGCTTTCTCATCTCTAATCCTTGCCCAGTAGTGCTCATTAAGAAGCTTAAAGTCATCAGCCTTTATTTTTTTATTTTTTTTTTAACTAGACTCATGTGGTCTGACCCCTGA